AGGCCCAGAAATCAGGATTTTAAAAAGATTCCCAGGTGATTCTAATGTGCAGCCAAGGTTGAGAACCACTGTCCTATAGCAAGTGGGAGTGCTTATTTATTTTCCAATATAGATAAAATTCCATCCACATTGTCTTACTCTCTGCTTTCTTGCTTTTTACCTTGCCCTCAAATTCCTCTATTCCCTATTTAATCCACTTAATCTCTGTCTGTAGATACAGATAGACCTCAGTTCTGCACCGATCCTTTTTCTGATCAGGGAGGATTTAAAGACACCTCGGTTAGGAGCTCAATGCCAAGTCCGCCTTGCTGGATGTTTTGCCTGTTCAAGCCGTTCTAATTGCTGAATTCAAATTTGAACTTTGAACTGCCCTTCAGTAAGGAGGCCTGTCCTAGCATCATGCAAAGCACCCTGCAATAAGTCAATCATATGGAACTCACTTTTGCATTTACTCTAAGGCAAAGAGTAAAAGAATGGGCCCATGACCTTGAGCTCATAAACATGAGTATATAGTAACAAGCATGCAACAGTATACAAAGTTTAAAACACCTATTCTGCTTTAAATGAGAGCATTTTGGCTGTTTTCCCTTGTAAAAAGTTTATACACAGACGGCATTAATTTGGTTACTTTGGTAAATGTTTATAATCTATTTATTACATTAGTAATGGTTATATTATATTAGCAATGGTTGAAAAAATCATGGATATAATTTTATTTTAGAACTTTAGAGAAACTATCAATTATAATAACAAAACATGGCAAAATCCTTACACAACTTGGATAATGTCCAGCCCCAAAAAACCTCCTAATATTTACTTGCAGAGGCTTTCTGAGAACACATCTAAATCCTAAGAAAAGACCCCAAAGACTGTTCAAATATAGAATTCTTTCAGATCCCGGCCCTCTCACTCCCAGAACAGCAGTTTTATGACAGGAAACTATCAGAAAATAGAAAAGATAAATGCAACTGGATGAATCTCAAGCTAAGGCAGGCGCAGGGTTATTCATGACAGCCTAGAACACGAATTGTAACCATGCCCAGAAAAGTAGCTTTCCGCTTCTGCTTAGGACCAAAGAACAAGAAATGGGCTTAGCTGTAAGAAGCTCATGGCTAGACATAAAAAATAAAATAAAAAAAGTATAAAATCAGAGAACTGTAAGCTGGTGTTAGGGCAGTTTAATGAGCTATGTGGCAGTCGCTTTAAGAACAGGTTAGCAGAAGAATAGGACTCATTTGTTCACATTTGATTCTGCGCAGAATGTAAGGGACTGAATTAGATGGCATTTTAGGTTTTCTTCATGTTTAAAGTTCCTTGAAATATAGAAAATATACATGAAATATTCTAAATATTCTGAATTTTGGAACATTACATTGTGTGTAACACAGAACAGACTTAAGTAAGCACCAAAGTACATTGGAAGGCACAACATAAAGGTATCCAACAAACACTTATTGACTAATGAATAGATTAACCATGAACTGAACAAACTATTCTCAATCTCTTCAATTTTCCTCTAGCAAAATATGTGGCCATGTGGTAATATAATGTTGAAACAGTTTCCTAAAAATACCATTTCTTAAGTACAAGTCACTGATAATATGTGGTCATGTGATAATATAATATTGAAACAGTTTCCTAAAAATACCATTTCTTAAGTACAGTGCTTCTCAAAATATGGTCCCCTGGGAAAGCAGCATCGCCTGAAAATTTGTTTAAAACATGAAACTTTATACCCCACCCCAGATCGACAGAATCAGGAATGCTGGGCATGGATCCCAGTAATCTGCATTTCAGCAAACCCTCCTGGTGATTCCGAGACACACTGGAGTCTAGGAATAGGAGGGCACAGGAGACAGGAGGGCCATCTCCCTCTCATTTTATAATTTGAGGTGAAAAGGCACTATCCTTGGCCAAAGACACAGTGGAAAATGTTGAGGGAGGAGTGCTAGGATGTAAAATTTTTCTTCACCCTTTTAAAGTCAAATAAGTCAGCCAGTCCTCTATGGTCTGCAGACACCAGTCAGAACCCCATTATGGAGCTGTTCCGGTGCTGGAAAAGATAAATATCCTACATGACAGTATTGGCAGTTCCCAGCCAGGCAACCACTCTGCCTCCCGGTCCGGGGTGTTGGCTTTCATAGCCACATTATAAACTTCTATCCAACGTGTATTGAACACTTGTGACACATGAAACAGCCTCTCTACAAAAAGAAATTACAGCTGTCAGCTTGCATCTGAGCGGCCCCAGAGTTAATAGCTGATTGGAAATACCTGGGTAAGAAACCATTTGTAACTAGAGGTGAGAAGTGCAAGCTGATTTATTGCCTGGAACATGTTTATAAGAAAGTCTTTTAATATTTATACTTTCCTCCAATTATCATTTTCACATTACTCCAACTTCTGCCCACGGAACAGAAAAGCCAAGCTAATCCTGTGCGATGCCTGTGGACCCTACAGGGGCGTCAGGATTGACAACTCTATGGTTGCTCCTAATGATTCTGTTTTGAAGATAAAAGGTTATTCAAGTCACTCGGAGTCGTCTTTTTCAAATAAAATGCTTGCTTTATGTTTCTGCTTGATGCCAAAGCGCAGCTGTCCGGATGGCGTTCGCCTCTCCACAAGCAACGCTGAATAGCCCAATCAGAGGGGAACAAACAGCGAGGGCTCTTGATCTACTCTAGAGTAAATCGTTTATCGTTAAAGGGTGTTCCAGAAAACTTCAAAACGAGGCAGATTGCCTGCTCCTAGCAACTAGAAATAAACCCTGATGGGATGAAAGAGGCTGGAAACACTACAAGGGAATCCAAGATGATTCTGTTCCCATATAAACCTGCGTTATGTTTTTCTTATATTAGCATCCATGCCTATAGAAAGCCTTTTGGTAGAGACTGCGTGCATGTAGTAGTTAAGTTGACAAGGATCCCTTGACAAAATCTAAATCCTGATTTTTTTTCCAAAGCCCTAGTTACACCCGGTTGATGTTATAAATATTTCAAATTTCCTGGGTAACTTGACTCATAGGATTTAACCTTGGAAGGGCAGACACAGGGATCTGTGTGTAAAGGATTACAGGGGAAAAAGAAGGAAAATGAAAAAAAAATGTTAAGAAGACTACAATAACACCAATGAGTGTATGCATGCCCCCCCAAAAAAAACTATTTACTAAATGTTTTGAAGAGGCTGATATTAACTAGTAATAATTACTATTTAAAATATACATTAAACCACCAACAATAAGAAAAATGCTTCCTGGCTCAGAGTCCCTTTTACCTTTATCCGTAGTTCTCTTCCCCCTAATTTTATCTTATAACCTGTTGTAAAATATTAATAATACATTAAGGTTTCTTCAATTAAATTGTTCTACTCATAGCAGGCAGATGGGTCCAAGTGGAGAGATGAAGAGAAAAGAAGGCCTTTGCCTCAAATAAATGCGGTAGATACTGACCATCCTTCCCATTTACACATGAAGGAATGATGGGGCAAACTAACTGAGTGATGGCCACACCCAAGCTAAATCAATGGTTGTCTTAAGAAATTCAAATGCAGTTGTGGACTCTCTTTCTTAAAGCTTCGTTATATAACTCACCTAAATGCCTCCCCTTGTTTTTACTGGCCCTAACCCTCGTTTCTATATTTTAGATACTTTTAAGTTTTGACTACATATTCGACTGAGTGTATATGAATTCTTCTGACCTAGTGAAATCATGTTAAGTAAAATGATATTTAAAAGTACAGTGTATCCTGAGATATGGAACCCTAATTACTTTGCCCACAGTTGCTATGAAGTTTGGGTAAAAAGTTTGATTAGATTTGGTCCCATTCTAGCTAAGAAATGCCAGGTGACTTTTTTGGATAGTAACTCTCTAGTTAATATATTCTGTCATATTGTTGTGTTAAATTTATGACTACATATTTTTAAAATCACTATCAGTGAAAGCCTTTCATATAATAATGGTGAGTCTGTGCGTTAATTGTTGGTGATGGCAGCTTTCCTTGCCTCACATATAAAGTAAATCAGGAAGTGATTCTTATATATCTCTGAAGGCTGACAGTGGTTCTCAACCTTGGCTGCACATTAGAATCACCTGGGAATCTTTGTAAAATCCTGATTTCTGGGCCTCATCCTCCGGAAATTCTGTTTCTTTGTTACTAATGGGGGCCACAACATTAGTAACAAAGAAACAGAATTTCCAGAGGATGAGGCCCAGAAATCAGGATTTTAAAAAGATTCCCAGGTGATTCTAATGTGCAGCCAACATTGAGAACCACTGGCATGCTGATCAAATTTAGCACAGCTGTGAATATTTTATTAAATATTTCTTTAAATATTTCCTTTGTATCGTTGTAATTAAAATACATATATATTTAAATCTCTAACATTATGCACTCATGCACAGGGAGAAAGTTCTTAACTCATGTAGCTGCTGGAGCATTTATTTCGTTAAAAATAAAAAAGAGTACATGGAAAGGTAGAAGCCCAATGGACAGAATCCCTTGCTTAAGAAAACTCTTTTTTCTCCAACCCCTCCCCTTTTTTCCCCTGAAAAGCAAAAATTATGTTCCCTGATGCCAAAATTGCACAAATACTTTATAGGGATCAAATTAATTTTTACCTCACATTTCCCTGCAGCACTAGAACCAAACAAAGCACAATTTTATACATCACTGCCTTTTTAAACTGGTATTTTAAAATGTGAGCACTATATGATTAGTTGGGAAGATGGGGATTAAGGGCATGGTCTTCCGCTGAATGCCCCCAGGTCTCACATTAAACTTTAAGCCATAACTGGAAGTTGGGCAAAAACTCTCACACTTGCAACTTAATAATACTTAATACCCATTTATAACGTAATGATTCTCTCATACGGTGGGATGTGTCTCTAAACTGCCATTAAGATTTGCAATAGCAAGTCATCTTGTTAGTCTCTGCTCTAACTGTTCACCTTCACCCTCGTGGCACCTTTATAAAGCAAAATCCCAAGTTACTCTTTGCAGAAACTTCTCCAAGGCCACTACCCATCCAGTCTCTGGGGTCTAATTTGCAGATATTAAGACACCCTAATGAGATGGCATGTATAATAATCACCCACTGGCTTGAGAATACCTGGTACTGTTCTAATTATATTTTAATGATTTTTATGTAACCATGCAGGGTTTGAGATTATTAAAAGTACAGCAGGGGTGATATATAAGACCAGCTATTGTTTGCAAAGGATCCAAGAATTACTACTCTCAAAAGAAAGAGAATGACCCTTCGGAAGCATCTAGTATTTTTCAGGAAATTTATAAACAGAACACGTTTTACATTCTTGCAATAACTATTCCAAGGAGTGGTAATAGAAGTTTCCTGACTACCATTTTGCAGTAAGATTGATATTTGGCCTAGAATAATAAACCAATGAGGCCCTTTTCCTTATATGAAGCTATTCACTTATAATTATGGCACCCTGCTTTGACTTAGAAGGCTTACCAAATAATAATATTTGAAGAACCTCCATGGTATTCTGTGGGATATGCTGATTTTCTTAAGCCCATGAAGTCACTGCCCTTTAAGTACAATCAGTCATGGAGAGCTAGGCTGAGAACATTTCTCAAATAATCCCCATCTTCTTCAACTTTGAATTTTTGACGTTTAATAAAAATTGAAATGTGAATGAATGAGTGTAAGAAAGGAAGGAACAGAGGTCAAGATAAGGACAATATGACTTCATATTGGGGAGATGTGTTAGTTTTGAGAGACCAGAGAGAGGTATCGACCAGACTGTTGGAAATATGAGGTGGCTGAGGACTATGATTTAAAGGCGATTGTTTTAGACAGGAGAATGGATATTGTATACATAGATGAGCTAGAAAAGGGGAAAGTTAAGAGCTAGAGATAGACACAGACATAGAAAGAGAAAGAAGAGGGAAGACCCAACCTTTTGGAAAGCCCATGTTTAAGGCTAAGGAGGAAAACTAAGAGTAAAACATATAGACAAAATGCAACCAAGGAATAAAGGAGATTCCTTTCAAAGGCACCCTAAATTCCTTTCAGAACAAATACCCTTTCACTAGAGACTTTTTTCTCTGTCTTTTTTCATTTATCTGCTTACTTGTATTGGCCACTGCAGTGGAAAAAGGCAAAAATCAGGGAACAAATAGAGAAAAATGACCACTCTCTCTATAACTTGCTGTTTTCTTTAGAGGAACTTCAAATTAACCTCCCTCTTCGATACCATAAGTAAGGTCCCTGCCCCCAGCCATTTCCAGCATGTGCCCACTGGCATGCATACAACCACAGACCACGTACCTGGATTCCAATCAGGATGCCTTTCTGGGGTATCTTAAATCCTGTGGAAAGCATTGCCTTTAGGAAAGCTGTGTGAATACCTTCACCAAAGCAAGCAACCTGTTAAGAATAAATGAAAAAAAATAAAATAAAAGGAAGCAAATAGTCAACCACCTTTACCAAAAAACAACTACAAATGGAAAGCACTATACTCATAGATACCTTTGCCAGGTTTTATTAAATTGCCCATGCAATCGGAATTCAGGGATGAAAAGGCTGGCCAGGGCAGATGTATCTTATGTTTTTAATTAAACATAATGAATGAATAAGCAATTCTTTCTCTACCCAACAGCACTCCACGGAACAACATAACTGGATTCTACCGTGAATTATTTGGATACAAATCACAGCTTCTGGTCCATAATGCGGTGAGTTACCAAATGTTAAATTGACATAATGTTTAAATAACAGTGTATGCTGTGTATGCTATGCAACAGTGCATGAATTCACAGGTCAGTAGCACAAATGCATAACTGCTGATCAATCCTTCAGGAGTCCTTTCACACAGTGTATGAGAAAGCCTTCTGAGCAATTCAATAAATCCATGAAAATCTCAAAGGAGTTTGTTTGTTTTTTATAATTTCCATAAAATGAACCTACATACCATACTGCTAGCCCTGAAACTTTCAGCCATAAGTAAAAAACAATTCCAAACTAACATATAGCGTTACAATATATAGAGGCTTTATCTACCATAATTGTACTACAATATAACTCCAAGTCACATGGCCAGCATAACTATAGAACAAGCGGTATATGTGAGTAGGATGGGAGTAGATTCTGCCATGCACATCATCATTTGGCACAGGTACAGAACCACCATTATAGTAAATAACACTGATGGCTAAATTCATTCTTTAAGCAAATGACTCCTTTACTATGAAAGGAAAGTTCTCAAATCACGTTGACCTTCAGTTGACCACCAATATACAGGGTGGGACAGAAGTAGATTTACAGTTGCAGGTACATGAAACACAGAGTTTATTCTCGCATTGTTATTTATTAACCATTGTATTATTTTCCATATGAACAACTGTAAGCCTACTTTTGCCCCACCCTGTATACTCCACAGTAAACATTTTCTTTGGTCAAGTTCTGGCCTAATGGGACCTAAGTTAATGGTACCCAAATTCTAATGAAAGAACCTGGGCCATCCCATCATAAGTGCATATAAGTACAACAGCACATAAGAGGTTTCAGCAGTTTTCTACCGAAAAACATATGAAGTAGTCAGATATTCAAGTAAAGATTAGGACCGATATCCTTACCTCACCACAAGGAAAATAAAATGCCCTTACCTAGACCAGGAGCTAAAGGTTCATTCCACCCTCAATAAGCCATTTGAACACTGAAAATGTCTTTTTGAAACATAATTGACATTGCACTAAGCTAGAATTATTATTCAGATTTTGCTTATACAATAGACCTCGTAACATCAGACTTAGTGACACTTGGAAATATGACTCTAATAATGGAAGAAGAATTATCTTTTTATATTTCTGAAACAGATATAACAAAGGGAGAGCCTAATTTCTAATTTTTTCATATTTCCATAATTCAACAACACCAATAATGTACGTCTGGAGGAAGAATGGACTTCGGCACTGAAAATGGATTTGCCACACCAGAGCAAATGGCATGAAGGAAAACATTCTCTCCCTGATCTGAGCCGTGGACCAGCTGAAAATAGCCCCTCTACTGAGGGACCATGGGCTCAAGATAAACCCAAAGAGAGTCTCTTTCAATGACTGGAAATGGAATGGAGGCCCCTTGCTTTAATGTTAGGTTTTCTCACCTAGTAAATTAAAAGAAGCAGCAAAGGAGCTAAGAGAATACAGTCGTCAATCCACATACAAACAAGATAGCCATTTATTCCTCACTGCCTGCCTTCCTGTCTCACATGGTTCCTCATTGCAGACCATGCTCGTAACCAGGCAACCATATAAAACATCACGCATTTGTTGCAATTAAACGTTTCCCCTTTCAGGTTTTCCTCAATACCAAGAGGAAGCAATGATGCCTCACAGTCTAATATTGACAGTCCTGCGTGCATGGATGAGAATGTGAAGGTTGTATCTGGTGAGTCTGTCAAGAGCTAGGTGATTCATAAAATGTCCTGACACTGACATGTAGGGAACTTTCTAGAATCTGACAGCTCTCTACAAGAAACACATTTCACATTCTTGAAAAAACCTTCAGCTGACAGAGTCCCAACACAAGTGAAGAGGGACATCCAGTGGCCACTCCCATTATAGTTTTTAGATAATCCCCAAGAGGTTAAAGTTGCTTTGAAAGTCGTTCTAAAATTTTGCATATATTTGCATGTTGCACAATATTTAGGACCATGATCTTTCTGATGATGCACATCTATTTAACATTTTGTTAGTAAAAATCCACTGATCTAATGGGGGGGAGGGGTTCAGAGAGACCTGAAAACCTTAAAATAAAAAGAAAGACCCAGAAGATATTTGAAAGCTATTCTCAATGTGTAATGTGGAAACTAATTAGAAATACATGTATTATATTCACATGTTAATTTTAGAATCTGGTCCCCAAAAGTAAAAGATTTTTCTTTAGCTCAAAATTCTTAAGCCCTTTTCAGACTTATTCTAATAACAGAAGTTTGTGTCCCCATTACTATTTACTAACTTACTTTACTATATTCAGAACAGAAAACCAGAAATTTCAAAGTAGACTTAATGAAAGTGTTTGTTATCATTAACTAGTTACCTCTCCAGTGGAAGCCATCTCACATCTCAGGATGGGGTCAGCATCCCTCAGTCGGGGCCAGGAAAACATTGGAGCCTGTCAGAAATAAGGGGGAGGAAAAAGCATGTGAGAAATGTTTAAAAGGACTAAGAGAGAAAAAATATATTAAGTGAATCATCTCTCACACAATTCATTTAGGCTATGGTAGACATGGAAAAAGAATCTCTTTGGTCCAAGCATCTGACTTGAAAAATGGCTTTAAAACTCTGTTCCAAGAATTTCCTGAGCTCTTAGC